AGGGGGTCCTGGGTCCCCACAGAGCTGCTGAGGGGAGGTGGGGACACGGCAGAGCCCGGGACTCCATCGGAGCTGGGGATGAACAGAGGGGGGGTTTGGGGACAATTTGGGGGTCCCCAGAGCCCGGTACCCAATTGTGGGGGAGTCCCCAGACCCTTTTGTCCCCACCGAGGGGTCTGGAGCCCCCCCTGTCCACACCGAGGGGTCTGGAGCCCCCCTGTCCCCCCACTGAGGGGTCTGGAGCCCCCCTGTCCCCACTGAGGGCTCTGGTGACCCCCCGGTGTCCCCAATGTCCCCTGTGACCCCCCCGGTGTCCCCAGATCCCCCTGGTGATCTTCAAGCGCGAGAAGGAGGTGGCGCGGCGCCTCGAGTTCTCGGGGCTCTACATCACCGAGCAGCCGCCCGACGACGACGTCAAGGGACAGTGGGACCGCCTGGTGCTCAACGCCTTGGAAGGCACTGGAGGGAACTGGGGGGCACTGGGGGTACTGGGAGGGCACTGGGGGCAACTGGGAGCCACTGGGGGGGTTCCAGGGGGTCCGGAGGGACTGGAAGGGAGGTCTGGGGGTTTCAGGGGGTCTCACAGAGGTTTCGGGGGGTCCCTGGGGGTCCGGTGGCACCAACTGGTGTCCCCTGGGGTCCCCCTGCCCCAGCTGGGCTGTGGGAAGGGGGCTTCACCCCCACTGACCCCCCCCTTTTTCTGCCCTGACCCCCCCAGATCCTTCCCCAGCAATTACTGGGACAAGTTCATCAAGAGGAAGGTGAGGAGGGGTCCTGGGGCTGCCACCCCCTACCCACATTTCGGAGGCGTCCCCCAACACTTTGAGGGTTTTTCCCTCGATGTTGGGACACCCCCCCCGTGAATTTTGGGGTCCCCCCTGTGAATTTTGGGGTCTCCAGGTGATGGAGAAGTACGGGGACATCTACGGGCGGGAGAGGATCGCCGAGCTGCTGGGGATGGACCTGGCCAGCCTGGAAATGGGGGCGCAGGGCGAGCACAGGGCCCCCCCCGACAGCTCCCTGCTCACCTGGTGGGCCCGGGGGGGCACCTGGGGCACTTTGGGGGTCTTTTTGGGGGGCAATTCGGGGAGTTTTGGGGTCTTACAGGGGTCTAATGGGGGGTTTAGGGGTCCTGGGTGGGTCCTAGGGGGGGATTTGGGGCAGTTTGGGGGTCCTGTAGGGGTCTAAGGGGAGGGTTAGGGGTCCTGGGTGAGTCCTAGGGGGAGTTTTGGGGTCCTGCAGGGGTCACAAGGGGGGGTTAGGGGTCCTGGGTGGGTCCTAGGAAGGCCTGGGGGCAGTCAGACACCTCATGGGTCTGGGGGCTCCCCTGGGGGGGTCCTGGGTGGTTCTAGGGGGTGGTCAGACACCTCATGGGTCTGGAGGAAGTACGGGGACATCTACGGGCGGGAGAGGATCGCCGAGCTGCTGGGGATGGACCTGGCCAGCCTGGAAATGGGGGCGCAGGGCGAGCACAGGGCCCCCCCCGACAGCTCCCTGCTCACCTGGTGGGCCCGGGGGGGCACCTGGGGCACTTTGGGGGTCTTTTTGGGGGGCAATTCGGGGAGTTTTGGGGTCTTACAGGGATCAAAGGGGGGGTTTAGGGGTCCTGGGTGGGTCCTAGGGGGGGATTTGGGGCAGTTTGGGGGTCCTGTAGGGGTCTAAGGGGAGGGTTAGGGGTCCTGGGTGAGTCCCAGGGGGAGTTTTGGGGTCCTATAGGGGTCAAAGAGGGGGTTTAGGGGTCCTGGGTGGGTCCCAGGGGGGGATTTGGGGGAGTTTTGGGGTCCTGCAGGGGTCACAAGGAGGGGTTAGAGGGTCCTGAGTGGTCCTAGGAGGGCCTGGGGGCAGTCAGACACCTCATAGGTCTGGGGTCTCCCCTGGGTGGTTCTAGGGGGTGGTCAGACACCTCATGGGTCTGGGGGCTCCCCTGGGGGGGTCCTGGGTGGTTCTAGGGGGTGGTCAGACACCTCATGGATCTGGGGTCTCCCCTGGGGGGGTCCTGGGTGGTCAGACGATCCAGGGGGGTCCCACCCTGCTGACCCCTCCATTTTGTGCCCCCCAGGTCTGATCATCGACGCCTTCGGGGAGCTGCGGGACCAGCAGGAGCAGGTGAAGGAGGACATGGAGGTGAGTCTGGAGAGGGGGGCAGGAGGGTGAGGACCCCCCCCCAGATGGGACTGGGGGTGCAAAGACCCCTCTCTGACCCCCCCCGGGCCCCCTCCCCAGACGAAATGTTTCATCTGTGGCATCGGGAGCGATTATTTCGACACGACGCCCCACGGCTTCGAGACCCACACGCTGGAGGAGCACAACCTGGCCAACTACATGTGAGCCTGGGGGGGCCACAGGGGGCTTTTGGGGGGTCCTGCAGGGGCCTGGGGGGGTCCCTGCTGACCTCTGACACCCCCGGATTCCAACCCCCCACCCCAGGTTTTTCCTGATGTATTTGATCAACAAGGACGAGACGGAGCACACGGGGCAGGTGGGGACAAAGGAGGTCCTGGTGGGG